CAATCAACTGACATCAAATTCACAAGGGAAACGCCTAAGCAGGGATGGTTGCCATTCCTCGATGTCCAGATCTGCTTATGCAGAGGAGAGTACAGAACACGCTGGTATAGAAAACCAACCAATAAGAACATACTTGTACATTACTCCTCTGCACACCCAATTCAAATGAAACTTAGCATTATCGGAAACATGCTGCGAACGTCAAAAAGAGTGTCTTTAAATAGCACTCTAGAATCCGCATCGACCAAACAGGCTATCCAAATTGCACACGCAAACGGTTACCTGCTGTCGAAAAACGAAAACACAAACGTTCGTCACAAGGATAATGCTACATTTGAGAGGTGTGGTTTGAGCGATTGACCAAGAGTGTATCGGCGGTCTCTCGACTTCCGTTTTGCTTCTGGCCAAGGCTCTGACGAAGGCGACAGCGCCGAAACGTAGGCCACTGTAGTACAATAATAAATTGTGTACCATCTTGGTCAATCGCTCAAACCACACCTCTCAAGTGACAAGCCATGCCAAGGTTCAAGGATAGCCGAACATGGACAATACTGATAATGCTACAGTTTTCAATGATGTCGGTTGCGAAATGGTGTCATTCCTTATGCCATTCATATCGGATAAGTTAAGCGCTGCGATTAGAAACTGCGTTCATAAAGCCGGCCTGCAAAATATGCTTACAAGGGAAGGAAGGTGGGTCGAAGTGGCCTTTCAAAATGAGATGGGTATCATCTTGTAGGGCTTCGAACGCTGATTCCAAATCTGCCTTCCTTTTCTGCGGCGCGTTTTTGGGCGAGGAGTTATGAGGGTTTTTGCGGGGTGGAAGTTGATACAAGTACAATCAAGGACAACACATCGCCGTGTGCTGTCTGGTGTAGTGGTTAGTGTGGTGGTCCTGCAGGTAGAGGCTCCCAGGTTCGAATCTCCTGTTGCGGTTCTCGTTTGCTGGTACACAAAAATTTTGTATGAACATGGCCAGCGTCCACACACCACCTCCTGTTTCTTTTGTCAGAATCTGGAAGGAACAACTGCTTTCTCTGAAGGTCTTTGCAAGTGATTTGAAGTGGTAGAAATGTCAGAAGAATCAATTTGTCACGTAACACCCCGGTGAACGTTAGAGGTCACAATGTTCTCAACATATTCTGCAATGTTCAGCTTATTCCTGGTACGCCAGCGGCTACCTTGATGCAAATCCAGGAGATTTTGAAACGCTTGCACAGTACTGCTTCCCTTCCAATTTGAAAGGAGACTGTGACCATTCGATTTGTTCAGAAGTAGTCTACATTCGTTGCTCTCATTGTGAAAAATGCCTATGTTTTGCACATTTTGTCCTCTCCTTTCATCAGGGCACATAGACGTTTAAAAAGTAGCGAAATAAAACTTTTTTGAAGACATTTGCAGTTAAAAGAAACAGGAGGTGGTGTGTGGACGCTGCCCATGCTCATACAAAATTTTTGTGGACCAGCAAAACGTTATTATAAGTTATGATGGGCGGGAATGGTATCGTAGGCATTGCCACGGTCACTCTCGGTTTAGATTGTTGTTCTATCTTTGCTTTGTATCGTAAGCGATCTTAACTTGCTGTAAGTTGCCTACAATTTTACGCATGACACCAGGACATAATGATTGCGCGGGTGAGAAGCTTGGCCCCAAACTGAGTAAGGATGAGGCATCTTTTGATTTTGTTGCACCGCCAGCAATAGTGACTCGAGACTGAATGAATTCATTGTGGTCAGTATGAGTAGCATTTTGGTGGTCTGACAAACAAAGGTTGGTGGACGTTACTGTTTTGGATGATTGTCTACTTTCTAATAACTTCTCGAATTTTCGTTGTAATCGCACTTTGGCATTGGAGCGAATCGAGTAGCAAATGCTCTTAGACTCACTCACCACTCTATTCCAGAGGCTCCCAGGCAGAAATCGTTCACAATACAATTCCTTAGCTACACATTTCTTAATCAAACTATACATAAAGTTCTTCTTCGCCCTTAGGGGCCATTCTCAAAAGTTGTAACTCGATTTTGTGTATCTCCCAGGAAAGTACAAGCGGAAATGGATCTATGCTTTGACATACTCAATGCTCAATCAACTGACATCAAATTCACAAGGGAAACGCCTAAGCAGGGATGGTTGCCATTCCTCAATGTCCAGATCTGCTTATGCAGAGGAGAGTACAGAACACGCTGGTATAGAAAACCAACCAATAAGAACATACTTGTACATTACTCCTCTGCACACCCAGTTCAAATGAAACTTAGCATTATCGGAAACATGCTGCGAACGTCAAAAAGAGTGTCTTTAAATAGCACTTTAGAATCCGCATCGACCAAACAGGCTATCCAAATTGCACACGCAAACGGTTACCTGCTGTCGAAAAACGAAAACACAAACGTTCGTCACAAGGATAATGCTACAGTTTTCAATGATGTCGGTTGCGAAAGGTGTCATTCCTTATGCCAATATCGGATAAGTTAAGCGCTGCGATTAGAAACTGCATTCATAAAGCCGGCCAAATATGCTTAGAGTTGTCAAAGTCCCACCCCCAAACCTCAAGCAGCGCCTGGTGCGTAACAGAGGTTACGATCCAGCCTGTTCAAAAACAGACTGTAATATATGCAATTCTAACAAACCGGGAGATTGCATGTGTCGTGGCGCTGTGTACTTGATATCTTGTAAACTGTGGGGGAAGAATATATTGGAGAAACAGGAAGACCGCTGTATGTACGAATTAACGAACATTTGGACGGAATGAGAAAATCGCGAGTGTCCACGCCTCTTGGCGCACATCGTGTGCTTTGCCATCAGGACATAGAGTTTCAAATTAACGTTGCTATCCTTTCGAAAGAAACCGACATTGCAGCAGGAAAGACCATAGAGGCTTGTTGGATCACGTCCAAATGTCCCAAACTGAACAGAAAGGTGAGCTCGTCCCATTCTTATCATTGTGTGAATTTGAGTCTGACCTCAAAAGGGAACCTCATTCCATCACAAGAGTTAGCATATAGTGGCCTGACTAAGTGTCAGAGTGGTGGACAGCCACTTGAAGTGTATCGCTGAAGGTATGTCTACCCTTGGAGCGTCGAATGTACTGACTCACTTTCCAGGTCTTGAAAAAGGCGACCCTGCCGAAACGTCGACCTGTTTGCTGTATTGACGTTATATTGATAAACGGATAACAATCTTGGAACGCTTACTAACATACTGAGAACTAACCTATAGTGTTTCTTCATTTTTGTTTTCTACCGCATTTGCCGATGGATTCAAGAACTGACAACAAAACTTTTGGACCGACATACCATTCTGCCTGTCTTAAATTTTTGGGCCATGAAGGATTTCAAATGGTAAACCTTCATAGTCGCGCTCCATTTCACAACTGAGGAAAATCTGAAGATACTAGGGGTGACTTAAAGGCAGCGGCTCGGCGAGAACGACAAATTTGGGATATTCATCGTTCTCGGTTTTAATGAATAATCTAAATCCAAGACTGGGCTTTGCAGCTTCAAAAGGTATCAATAACCCGCTTTTCCAAAAATGAAAAGTGCTATTTGGGAAGACGGTGTATGCCTGCCCTCGAGCGCGATTGGCTCGTGGGTACGGCAGGTAACGGTGTCTCCACTCACAAGCCAATCGCGCTCGAGGGCAGGCATACGCCGTCCTCCCAAATAGCACTTTTCACTTCTGGAAAAGCGGGTTATTGACATCTTTTAAAGCTGCAAAGCCAATTGTACTTAGCTTGTCCAGGGGAACCGAGAACGATGTACTTAGCTTGTCCAGGGGAACCGAGAACGATGAACAGTCCAAAGTTGTCATTTTGCCGAGCCGCTGCCTCTATGACTTTAGTCACCTCTGTTTTCTACTAACTTTTTGATGTTAAAGGTAGAGACGGAGCGAGAAGTTTGTCATTGCCAAGCATGTTTTTCATCACATGACAAGCTAGAATAGTTTTTCATTTTTTCTTGCAAACTTTTTAGTCAGTGTTTCTCTGGCAATAGAACACATTTCGAAACAGAATACATCAAGAGGAAATTCAAAATTGGGCGACGTATGGGTGAGTTTCTTTCCAAAAATGCTCGAGGTAAACATAAGAGCTCTGTGTGGGTCCCCGAGCCCTGTGTGGGCCCTAAACTCATGTAGCAAGAAGATACACATTTCTTTCGATGACGAGAGTAGCATAAACGTGCACAAAACTTTGGCAGGGATTATTACTAATTATCAAACAACCTTCTTAGCATCGCACATAGAAAATAGAGATGATTCAAAGTCGCGCTCATCCCCTAGCATTTGTAAGCACAGCTAAGTCGCAAAAGCTCAATAATTATCAATTGTTATCATTCAAACTCAAGTATCCATGTTTCACCATCCATAAATCTTAACATAGGTAATCTTCTCGTTGATAGTTTGAGCATAACCAAGCACCATCCGCAGGATACTACTGCATACAAACCTGTGACAGAAAACGATTCCAGAAAGCAATACCGCCGCTTGAACAAGATGTGGTTAGACGTAGCCAGAGCTGAAGGCATTCCTAGGGCTTTCGCTACACGTTTTTAGACCTGACCGATGATCTCCTATGTGCCCGATTTTTTACACTCTTGTACACTTAAAGTGCCTATCAATAGTTTAACGTCCAATAAGCCGTAGGGTTATAAGACTATCATCAGCGTGTAGGAGGTCCTACGAGAGGATATCGCGGTTTAGTTTCTTTTTTAGACTTCGCACGATAGCAGGATTTCCTCTCCATTTTTCGATTGATGCGAATCTTCGTACAAAGTAGACGGTGGTTCGAACTTGTGCACAACGATGGAACAATCTGATATCGATCGGGCGATATCTCTTGTTGACAAGTATATGATCGATCATAGTTGCGATATGGAGAAATTTCTCTGACCCCCTTCACTTTAGATCCTGCATTTGGCTGACCCCTTTCACCTAAGATTGAGACTAGAATCAAGGCATAACGGCAGAATCAAACAGCTGTTACAATGATACTTTTTGTTTAGAAAGGAAACGCCAAAAGCGAAATGCTCTTCTTCTCAGACATCAAGACTGCAAGAGATTATCGAATCAACAACGTTTTGTTGAAGAAACGCATGCTCGAGGCCTTCTGCGCACTCAGGGTGGCGTTCTTAACGAAACATATTTAAGTGAAAGGATGTCTGATTCTTTGAATAATCAAATTGTTTCAATGAATACACATTATCTCACGGAAGAGTCAAGCAAGAGTAGAAAATCTGGACTAGTTAGTACCATATCTCCTTTCACTAGGGAGAATAATAACAAGTAAAAAAGCATTATTACTCGTTTCTTAAGCCTAACCATGTAAAAAAGTTCGAAAAGACCTTCTTGATTTAAAAAGATAATTGCCTAGAATTGGCTAATATCGTAGCTAGATAAAACTGCTCGTATCTCGCTTTACAGAAAACTTTTTTGTAACTGTATAAACATGAACTGTCCTCGAACACTATTTTTATCCGCTGTGCCCTAGAACTTCTAGTCACGTCTGTGAGTTCGTCCTTGTGACCAAATATTTACTACAAAGAAAAGAAAACAATAAAAAGGAGTCAAGGCATATGAGTGCACTGACTTCGCTTAGAATGAGCGCCTTATATAGCCTCATTTTCTGCGCATATTGAGACTAAGCGATTGCAGATTACATGCAAAACAACTGATCATTCGCAATCACAATAATTTCGTATCACGATAAGTTAAGCCAAATCACCCTTCCCATAATGGAAGAAGATCAGTGGTTTTTTCTTGTACATAAATCTACGGTAAAAGCAGCTTTCAGCATGGCTCCACGGTCTTCAAGCAGACATTGAGACAGAAGAGTTATCGCCGCATGCTCGGATGCCCTATGTATCATACTGTAAGAGCCGGGTTGCACTTCTGAAGCTCCGCCACTAAAACGAAGTAGAACTTGCATTTTATTTCAACCATTTACCGGTTTTTCTGTTTCTACTCCCAAAAGCGCGATTATCAGATATCAATAAACTTACTTTATACTAATACTCAATAATTCAAATCTAAGTGACCTGACGTTGTGTCCCCACTTAACTCAATATACCTCGTGTTGTAGAATGCTGATTTTATACGAGTTGTAGGATGAAGCGGACTGATCGCACTTCTTCACTGGAGTATCATAGTGTTGTGCATGTGTAAAATGAAAGTAGTCACTTAAATTTTTTATGCACAGCTGACCTGCTACCCTTTAATTAAACTGGATTGGCTACCGAAAGGTGGGGATTCGTGACCTAATCAAGGTTAAATGATGATCAAGAGCGCACCCGCGAGAGGGACGCAGGTTGCGTCGCTGCGCGAGCGGTCATCAGCCGCCAATCTCGTTGGATTAAAGGTTATATTAGCAAGGACTCAAAAAGTGTCACCCCATCTCGACAGCTGAGAAGCTTTGAAGTCAAGTCGCAAGTAAATAGTCCAACTATACCTGCTGAAAATGCTAAAGGGAAGCTGATTGAATGAAATGTTTTCGACTGGCCGGTTGAGTTTTGCTGAATGCATGCCAAAACAAATGATTCAAATATCAGTGTCAAAGGTCCTCTGCCATTTTTTTGATTCCCAAAGCTGACTCCTATTTCACATGCGTGCAGAACTATAAATGCTATCCCTTATGTCTACTGCGGAAAACCAACAAGGTTACATGAATATTCATCTGAACCATGCAAAGTCTTCCTTATTAGCAAAGGGTTCTTTAATTGTCAGCTTTTGCTGCACTTCTTGCTAACACAACAAAACATGCATCTTACTATAGTGCATCGTCCAATAGCCTCTGCGACAAATAAGTTCTGTTGCTGAGACAAGATGTCACACCAATCTTGAACTGGGATTTTGAAATGCATGATTTGGGTACTAAGCGAAATAATGCATTCTCCATAGTTACCTTTGAGGCAAAAAAGACTGATTGCGCAGCTTTCAGCTTCATCAAAAGCTGGATCACAAAACAATCAGATTTCGCGAATGTAAAAACAGCAAGTAATCAACTTCTGCACAGTGAAATCTTGTGAGCACAAGGAAAACAGGATTCTCGCAGTTTGAGTTTTGAGTCTTGCAAATTGGTATCAGTAGACTAAACTTTACAGCTCAGAACACCTTATTTGCTATTCAGATGCGTTCTGTTGAAGCAGGCTTCTAAGCGTAAATTCATCTGCGGAACATAGTCCCTTCACTTCTTCGTGCTACTAGGAACGGAGGAAGTCAGTGCATATACGTGGTAAACTTGTAAGAGCAATTATATATCTCTGGTGTCATCACAAGAATAGGTAAGTTCAGAAAGGGCCGCCTTAATGAAAATTGGGTGTGTAACAATTAGAAAAATGTTGTGGCTTTTCATAAGTAGCGAAGTAACACCAATTATGATAGATCATCTGCAAACCTTACTTAGACTGCATCGTTTAATCAATCATTAAACTCTTCATTGGACAAATCTTTGTGCTAAATTTTGAAAACACTATCATGCAAATCACACTTCTATGCGTCTTAGTAATCAGGTGGAGAATTCAACAAGATGACCCGAAAAATGTGATATTAGCCTACTTGGTTTGTCACACAATGTCACAATGACTCGCAAATCGCGTACATTGAAACAAATAACATTATAAGCTGTTTCCGTTTCAGAAATTCTTCCTCTTTCCAGCTGCCATATCTGTAATGCAAATCACTGAGAAAGTGCTGATCTTTGGATCTTACAACCCTTTGTTTTGACCACGTCTAACTTTCACTTTTCGAAAATTTTATTGAGGCTTTTAGAAAAGCTTCAATAACCGGGGGAATTAAACTTTTGCCAATTGAAGCAATTTTTTAAAGCTTATGTGGCTTGTTTTTCAAAACTTAAAAAAATATTTTCAGAGTAGCCGAACTTTGTTCGGCCTACTCTGACCTAGTGAAACATGAAATGGCAAACAGTTCAAGTAGCATTCAATGGATTTCTTTCCCTCCTTCTGACATTTTTCTTGGTGAAAGAGAAATTTGCAAAAAAACGCAGTAATTCTCAATTTTACGAGTGCGCAATGACGCCTAACTCAAAATCTTCATACGTTGAAACGAAAATTTTGAAGGTTAGTAATAATAATGATTGAGTGTTGAAGCCTCAGTGATCTGTCTGCCGTATTTAAAGAAAAGAAAGGTTGCCTCATTTGGCAAAGTTCAGTTTGTTTTGCCCTCCCGGCTGGCTAAAGCTCCCCAAAGGTATCAAACGAGAATTTTGAAAGTCAGGGAAAAGCAGACTTGGTGAAAACGAAGGGTTATAATCTCCAGTGATTATCTCAGCATTCTTCTAAGAAATCACACCTTGAATGCAGCAGTTTAAAAAGCCGCTCTAAAGTATTACTTTATTTCTTTATTTTTTCTTTATTCTACCGCATTTGCCGGTGGATTCAAGAACTGACAACAAAACTTTTGGATCGCTATACCATTGCCTGTCTTCGATCTTCGGGCCATGAAAGATTTGAAATAGTTGACCTTCAAAGGTATTGCGCTCCACTTCACAACTGAGTGAAATCTGAAGATGCTAGGGGTGAGTAAACATTTACAGTCATCTCTGTTTTCTACATATGATTTGGTGTTTCAGATAGAGACACAGCGAGAAGTTTGTCACTGCCAAGCATGTTTTTATCACATTGACAAGCTAGAATTACGTTTTCATTTTTTCTTGAAAACCTTTAATTGATGTTTCTCTTGCTATCGAACCCATTTCCAAACAGAATACATCAAAGGGATATTCGGGATATTTGTGCGAGTTCAGTTCAAGGGTAAGTTCGCTCTCAAAAAAACTAAACATGTGCACAGGGCCCTAAACAGGGCCCGGCACGAGCTTGTCAAATGACAAGCTGGAAATCGTTTTCGGCAAAAAAAGCAAAGGGGAAATCGTTTTTGCGGGGAAAAAAATTGGTAGTGCACGTTCTCTGCTTATTTTAACATGTTATGTGCCTCAACATGCGAAGACTGGAGTTCGCGCGCGTCAAACCGCGCCGTCGCTAATTGCCGCACGCGCGACGTCGCTCAAACGAGCTTTTGTAACGGCATACATGACTAGTTCTCAATGTACGCGTCACGGTATGACACCAGATTTTGTAGGCGAACGGAGAGAGGCTAGTGGAAACAAAGTATGAAAAATTATGAAAAACTTATGTGAACGGGACGAGTAATAAGCAGTTTTTCCAAGGATTTTGCAAAATTGGTAAATGAAGTTGTAAATTCAAATGGCTCGTTTGCAACGCGCAGATGACGATATGGTATGAAACTTGGTACGCACGTGGACACAAGCCTGTAGGAGCTAACTCAGGAGTTTCATTGAAAAATTATGTGACTGAAGGTTGTGGCAAAGTTTTTTTCTGAAAATTTCTCGCTACCAAAGAAATGGAAAAATGGCTCGTTTGCAACGCAGAGGCGACGAAATCGCGCGAGATTCGGTGTGTATATGCGCAGTAGGACTAAGTAACAAAGTATGAAAAATGAAAAACTTATGTGAATGAAGAGTTTCCCCAACTTATTTCCAAATTAGCTTGTCATTTGACAAGCTAATGACAAGCTGAGCTTGGCAAAACTCTCAATTCACATAATTTTTCCAAAATTTTTACATAAATCTACTCTACCCCTAAACATTAGTATATACTGAAAATTTGGTCCCAAACCTCCTCCTCTCCCCATTGCTAGAGGCAAAAATAGCCTCAACAGCTCCGTTTCCTAAGGAGAAAGCGCGCTTCAATCGATAATGGCGTCGCTGAGTCCTATAATCGCATTGCTGTAACATTCTCTTGCTGTTTTCTTCTCTCTTGTTCCTTTCTTCATTTATTCTAGTTTTAAACTGTTTTGCCTTTGAATTTAGGTGCAGTTCTTCGCAATGTGTTCTTCTTTGCTTTGCTTTGACATTTACTTTTGAGGTTGCTTATAAGCTGCTTATAAGATACCAGTGCGTCACCTCTGCTTCGCAGAGGCTCGCACTGGTCCTACTTCATATGCCTTACTCATTCTTGACTAATGATGGTAATGAAACTCACCGCGCGGTGCCGATTATCGCGAGTAAAATGTAAACAACTACCATTCCAAATGCTTTTTCATGTGAGATTGGTGATTTCGCGTGGATGAAACTTTTCGCAGAAGAACAAATACAAATTTGAGTAGGTTTTTGGACTCTTTCTGGTTTGGTAGCTGCCATAAGGACAGTAGGCAACGTGAGCTACATCTCTGTGCAAAATTTTTCTCAAATGCTTAGGTAAAACTGTGGCAAATTAACCATTTACGCAACCATTTCATCTGGCGTCGTTCTCGTAAAGTAGTAAACTTTTGTCCACTTTTTTGGACTAAAGTTCATGGCTTGCACATCAGCATGCCAAACACATCCCCGACTTTGCAAAAGGTGGTGATACGGAACCAATTTTGCTGGCCAGAACCCAAGCGGTTCCGTTTGACGCGCATTTTCTGTGGGATCCACCCAACAAAATCGCTCGTGCTTTTGCACGGTATGCTCTTATGTTGGTCGCATGCGATGTGCAAAATTTGGGCTTAGGACGTTGGCTGGAACACGCTCTACGAATTTCGTTACAGACAGACACACAGACATACACACACACACAAAAACACGTAAACATCCTTAGCCCGTTATTATAAGTTATGATATTTACTACAATCTGTTCGGCATCGTTCGTTTTTTTTACTTGGTGGTCGTTTTCTCAATTAGTATTGAGGAGACTTTGGCTTGCTTCGGCTTTTTTTCATATCTAATTTGCGCTAAGCTAGCTGCTGTTTACTTTTTCCTTATTCGCGTGTCGTTTCCAACTTTCTCTTCTTTTCCATTTCACTTCGTTTCGCAGCTTTCAATGCTTCATTCACTAGGAACGAGCAGTGCTGTTGAAAGTGGATTTGAAGTTGCAAACATTGATCATGTGCTAGTTAGGACTACTTTCTTCCGCACTCGTTTGTAATCGGCGCCCAAGCTACTTGTCTTACGTTTTGATGTTAC